GAGAAGGCTGAGGGGGGATCTAGTGGCCTGTTACAAGCTAGTCAGAGGGGACCAGCAGGCATTGGGGGAGTCCTGTTCCCCCGAGCACTCCCAGGAGTGACTGGAAATAACGGTCACAAGCTGACAGAAGGTAAATTCAGGTTAGACATCAGGAGGCACTACTTCACTGTCAGGGTGGCTAGGATCTGGAACCAACTTCCAAGAGAAGTGGTGCTGGCTCCTACCTTGGGGGTCTTTAAGACAAGGCTTGACAATCACTTTGCTGGGGTTGTTTGACCACAGTACTCTTTCCTGCCATGGCAGGGGGTCAGACTTGATGATCTGCTTAGGTCCCTTCCAACCCTACTAACTATGAAACTATAAAACAGGGGGAGAATGATCTATAATGCATGCAGGGAAGGAGGGGAATAGTGTTATTACACTAACTATTCTTATCAGAGATGCAGAATTCAGCCAGGGCCTCATTAAATTCTGTCATTGGTCTAATTAGGTGGGCTTCATACCTAACAATGGGGAACAACTAATGGAAATTTCATCAGGGAAAGGGGAGGAAAGTACCATCTTTGTTTCAGGGAAAGTGACTCAGGTGATGAGGTAGCAGGTCTCAAACCTTCAAAAATAAAACCAGAAAAGCTCTACCTGGATCCATCAACTTAAGCTGTTGTGAGCTGAGATCATGCAGGGATGGGTGCCTTGCTCAGGTGTTATTTCTTATTGTTGCTCTGTTTATTAGAAAATATAAATTGTGTTACCACACCTGGGAATAGTAAGACCTACCTTCAATGGGCTTCAGTTGTCTAAGAAGCATTAGGACCGCATTGCCTACTGAACTGCTTTGGCTGAGGCACCTTGGACTATCTCATTGCAAAACAACAGACTTTTAAAGAGTTTTACCCAAGAGGCAGAGAAAGTTGAGATGCACTTGAAACTTCATTGCTGCATTTTTCTGTATGCAAAGACACCTTTCTGACCCCCAGAAAAGGAGGTCTAGATGAACACCTTGCTGGGGTCGTTTGACCTCAGTACTTTTTGCTGCCATGGCAGGGGGTCGGACTTGATGATCTGCTCAGGTTCCTTCCAACCTTACCAACTATGAAACTGTAGCTCCTAGTCAGGCCCCTGATTTCCCAGCCTCTAGTGACAAGTCACAACTGTGAAGGTGGGGGACAGCCAAAGAAGGTTTTTAGCCTTAAGTTGCGACTTCTTCAAACTTGAACTAGCCCTAACACCAATCAACATCTGAGCAGGTCAAAGTGCAACATGTAACAAAGTCCTTAGTTACAAAAGAAAGAGTGTCTCACCAACCACTGGATAAAAACAGCAGCTGGAACCTCTCTCAGAAGCAGAGACAGAAAGTGATTCTCTGAAGAAGAATCCGTATATAGAAAGGAAAGAAGGATCCTGGACTCTGTTGCCAATAGAAAACTGAAGTTGTGAGGAAATGAAAGTATGGATATCATTATAGGTGTTTTATTATTTTATCTAGTTTTGCATATTTTTGCCCTAGCTAAGGGAAAGCAGGACTGGTTTTAGAACACTTACAAAATCTGTAAAAAGCCATGTTAGTCTGAAGTCTAGGCAGAAAGTAGAATATCTGAATGAATGGCATTAATAGCATTTGACAAAATTAAGCTGTTACCTATGAAACTCCATGCCTCTTTGAACCAATTAGTCCCTAAGGTACCACCCTTTCCTACCTTCTGCATCAAAAAACCTATGCATCTGTTATCTTTCTCTTCCACAAGTCCATAGAAAGGCAGACTAAATAATGTAATTTATTAAGTGTAATGTGCTTTGCAGAATCAGGAATGGAATGCACAGTAATTTAAGAGTGTAGAACCTCAAAAATGTATTGAAGGAGATCCTTAAATTTTGTGTAGGACTTAGAAATAACTGTAAAAAGTTTACAGATCCCTAAATATCATTATCATGATTTGAAGGACAAAAAGGTTCTTAGATATTGTTGAAGAAATTTCTACTAACTTAATTTTTCTACCAGACATTGTAACAGTGCTTTCAAAGGAGAGGAATAAACCTCCTTTCACACAGAGTATGTTTGTAAAACAGCATATGCAATTTATTACCAGGAACAGACATTTATTGCTTATTAAAGTCTATCCTGGCTTTTGAAAATGAAATTACTTCATACACAGGAAAAAGGTGTATATGATAAGCTGTTATTTCAGGTCTATTTTCAAAACACTAAAAATTCTAAGACTATTTTATAGGGCAGCAGTAATCAATATTAATTTTAAAAGGCATTTGATCACTCAAAAAAGCAAAGGTTAAACTTTGGGACCACAATGGACATCATTTGCAAACTTCATTATGGTAATGTTCTGCTAGTTTTCACTTTGGTTTTAAAGATTCCAAAACTAGAGCCATGTAAAAACATTGTAGGTCAGGGCACTTCGTATTTGCATTTTGAAAGCTGTATCCCTGATATGCCGTATGAAGACTAGGTTAAGCCAACATATCAAGATAACTTCTACTGTGAGAAGGTTTTCAGTCCCTTTCCTAAATCACAGTAATTCCCTCTGGGAACTGAGCACAATTTTAAGCTGTAATTCAGTTTACAGCAGTTAAAATACATAATTTGATATTCAATTGAAATAAAAAAAAAAACTTACTTGTGTCAGGGGGTTATCTTATTTAGCAGATTTTTTTTACATTAAAATCCTAATCTGTTCTCCACCATCTTATTTCTAGATTGGCTGATTTCTAGGTTTCCATTTTATTCATCTTCATTTGTTTGCTCAGAGGACAATACATTAAGAAATTAAGAAAAAAGATCAACGGATAAAAGGCAAAAATAGAAGATGGAACCAAAGATGACTTGCAGTATAGAATACGGTGGGAAACCTATATGGTTCCATCATGTACCACTTGAAATTAGAGAAAGCTTGAAGGGAAACCATGATAGGTATTAAAGCAGCAGAGAAAATCAAAAGTGGACATACACAAGGACCAGTAGCAATTAACAGGCTGGCTTGCATATAGGTAGCAGTTGAAGTACCGCCAACACGATCTGGAGAAATGTTTGAGCAGCCGCTGACTAAGCTAGTGGAAGAGATAATAAGTATGAATGCACAGAAAGAAAGCTCAAGGGGAAATAGAAAAGCTGTGTCTGGTCCAGAGAGAGAGAGAGAGAGCGCACTACCTCTATAAGAAGAGAGATCTATCATACAGATAGATGCATTATCCTTTCCTTATGAACCTCATGCCTAGGGACATAAGTTACACACAAACTCATTTAAGTGATCAGAAACTGGTTTAAACCTATAAAAGAACAGAAGCTCAGTGCACATAAACCAATTTCAAAATGGCTGAAACTGGTTTAAAATAAACCTGGTTGACTGTAGTATCAGACTTAATTGATTTAGGTCAAACTAGTTTCTGGAACTTCTGTCCCAGATCCCTTCCTGGTTCAAGTTAAATCAGAATCCCCCAGCATCCCCAACATGCTTTACAGCCCTGGGCTAAGCTGTGCTGTCTGCTCCAGAAAGCAGGCCTGGCCCTGACTCTCTACTCCCTAGCTGGAGCAATGACAACTGGCTCACTGGCCTCAGTGACTGCCCCCCCCCCGCCCGTCTCCCTTCCAGGCAAAACTCTGCTGGAGTCTGGAAGGGGGGTTAAACTTACCTTTTCCTGAATATAAAGCTGCCCTGGTCTGCTTACTTAGTGCTGGCTGTGACTGTGACAAATCCCAGAAGCATCTGGAAGCAGGAAGAGGAAGTGATGAGCAACCTGCAGAGTCCTGCTATTGTGATTTTGGAGTGCAAATCCCAGAGACCTTGGGGGCAGCAGGCAGAGGAAGCAAACACACAGCCTATGCTTGCTACATACTGGAGAGCCATGCTCTAGTGCTTTCTGGCTTCTAACTTGAGCCACTGCAGGCTTATGCCTGCATTTCCTGAATTAAAAGTGAATATCTGTTCATTTGCTTATTGGTTCAATCTTTGCAGCTTAGCCTAAACTGCAAAGACTGAATTAATTCAGCCTCAAGTTTTTTGACTGTGCATACTTAGCCTATGAGCCTTTCCTTATAAAAGGTCCCTTTATGACCTTTCTGCTAAGCTCTCACTAGGTCAGTCTTTCACCCATATTATTTATTATATTAAATATAACATAAGGTATCAAAGCATATGCACTTCTGAGATATCACCTGTATGAAATGTTTGAAAAATGTAAATCTATCCATCCATATGTGGGACATATACATGTGTGGGTATGTATGAATGTTTAGATTGTATAAACCAGGGGTGTCTAACAATTCAGTTTGAATAATTAGTTTCTTTGGGCATCCAAACAAGCCTGCACATGCCTTCTGCAGCACCTCAAAGCAGTTTGAGATGCTACTAGAGGCAAGCTGGGAACAAAAAAAGTGTTCTCTGCACTTCATATTTGCAGTACTGACTCTAAATTTGATACTTGGAAATCCAGGTATCAAAGAATAGCCTGCAGAAAAAAGCAGGGCAGGACATGGTCCAGGACCATGCCATGAGGCAAACCAGCAGTGGATCCTCCAGAGATGCTCTGGTATCTGGCCATAGTGTCTCTACAGTGCTACTGTCGGCCCAGCATGCATCCTTTGTATGCAAGGCAAACAGAAGTGGGCAAGGCAGAGGTGGGACCCAGCCCATGGCACTGTCCCAGGTAAGCAGGGACTGGGCTTGAGGGGGCTGTGTGGTTTCTGGGGGGGAAGGTTATAGGTGTGGGGTGTTTGGGTGGGTGTGTGGGGAGTGGTGTTGGGAGTGGCAGAGGGTGTAGATGAAATGTCGGGTTTGTGGAGAGGGCACTACACATCCGCCCCTGCCACCCTTGCAGCATCAGCACAGGTGATGACCCCAGGCTCTAGCTCTAGCTCCCCCTGGCTGAGGTCCAGGAGGAGCTGGGCAGGGTCATTTTGCTACGAGTGGCACAACTTGCCCCACACCAAAGTGAATGTCCAGGCATGTATGCCGAGGCAAAAATCCCTGCACAAATTTGTGCCGCTCCTATTTGAGCTGCTGCAACCACACATACCTGTATGTGTGAACACAACCTTTGACTTTCTGGAATACCAGCATGGCTGGGAGGAGAGGCCTGCCTCAGACTTTGGTAGACATGGCAATCAGCAGCAGGAGGCTAAGCAAGGGCTCACACAGCCCCAGTTGCCTTCCAGCCACTTTACCTGTCTGCATTGCTGCAGGCCCAGCCCTTTGGCTGCTGGCCCTGGAGCTAACAGTGCCACTGTAGCATTGGGCACACAGACGTAGGAGCTCCAACTTGGGGCATGCAGCAGGGACTAGAGCTTCTGTCATATGCCTCCAGTAGGAGTTGAAAATATTGCCACCACTGGATATTTTGGGTCAGAGCTAGAGCTGTCATCACCACTGCCATGTGCTGCAGGTCATAGGCAGAGCTGTTGCCCTCCACCGTCAAATGATCTGGGTCAGAGTCAGAGTTGCTGCTGCTGCTGCCCAAGTTTCTTCATGCCCCAACCTGTATCTGGCCCATGAGGAGCCCTGCAATCTAGACCTAGCCTGGAGCACAAGATGAATTTGACACCCCCAGTATAAACTATAAAATGATGAACAATATATTTTAAAAGAAAATATATTGTTCAAGCTGAATGTAGAAAATACACCATAAAATTATAATCATGATATAGAAATAAGCTTCTTGGTGAATTTAACTAAACTCAAATGGTTTTGACCTTTAAATATATGAGATGGGCACCCTGTTTGATCTTGATAGGATTGGAAGTATGATCATTGCATATGTTTACTTTTCAAAATTAATTAAGGTCATAGGCTTTGTTTTAAATAAAAATGTTAAAGGTGAATGGCAGAGATTAAATGAAAATTGAATAATCCCAGGTTTATTTGATGAATGGGTCTACTATATAGATTGCTGGATAGATGAATCAGAAATAAATCTTACTATCTTAGTTAAGTATTTTCCTCCCTAAATAACATATCTGGCTGAAAATATTATTCTGCTTCATTCCTTTTATGCTTCTTAGGTTATACATCAGCTACTGAAGTGATATCCTGACACCGGTGAAGTAAGTGACAAGACTCCCATTAATTCCAATAGGGCCAGGATTTCAGCCTTGAAATCTGTCCCGAGAGTGCTGCTGTGCTTGTTTTCATTTTATAACAACTTCATAGCTCAACTGTTAAACAACGAGATCTTAGAAAACTCAGATTGTCATTGGTTAAAAAAAAAAAGCATGCGTCTATTTAGGGTCATTATATGCCACTCTTATTCCCACCTGTGAACACTTATTTGAATGTGTAATTCTGGTGACTTCAAGGGGGGGATACTTGGGGCCAGATTCTGTTCCAACCGTTAGGCACCTATGAGTGGACTTAGATGCCTAAATTCAACCCTATTCCATCAAGTCTGCATCCCTGAAAAACTGTTAATATACAAAAGGTGCTTGTGTCCTCTTCTTCCTTGCTAGACTTTTATTTTTTGAGACTCAGTCTTCAGAGTAAGATGATGGTATATTACAAAAGTAGATGCATTCATGGATTTTCAGAGACTTGAACAGACTAGAATAGAATTGCATTTAGACCCTATAACAGGTCGCCCTCCCCAGTGCCATCTTCCCTGTTATCTGCACCTTACGTGGGGCGGCCTTGAAGTCTTGTAGTCTTAAGGTTCTTGTGTCCCGCTCTCTACTCATCTGCCACATCTTGATGGAAATTATTATACTGATGTTCTTGTAAGTGGGAGACTGCCTATTGTATTTGTATGTTGGGGTCTTCCACCTCCACAGACCTTGACCCCTGTCTTTCTCTAGCTAGGCCTCCCTGTCTAAACCCACCAAACAGGGTTTGACTCTGATGCACTAGCCCTTTTTCCCTTGCTTTGAGGCTTGTGGCCCTCCTTTGTGCTCCAATCTGGAGCCTGACTTAGAGGCCCAGCCACTCACCCCACAGCCAGGGGGTCACACAAGCCCAAGGCCATGGAATGGCCTTGAACTCACACTGTCCCAGTCCAAAAAACCCCCAAAATCGCACCTCAGGTACACCAGACCACTCTGGCCTTTTAGGATCACGCTATCTGGTGTCGGGGTCAGTACACCCCAAATCCTGCACCCACACTGGTGCCGGGGCCTATGTACCCCAAATACTGCGACTTCTCTGGCACCAGGTTCAGTGCACCCCAAATCCTGTGCCCACACTGGTGATGGGTCCCCATGTTGTAGTCGGGTCCCAATGAGGCCTCCTCCTTCCCCAATAGCCTCACCGAAACCACTGGTGTTATTCAATAACAAAAAACATATGAACAGTCCTGTCCATGAGCAATAACCACCACCAAGAGAAAACATGATTAAAGAAGGCAGCATGCTGGCTTATATTTATGCAGGGTTCGTGCTTCATCTCCCCTTCTTCTGGGGTTGCTGCCATCTCTCAGGGGTCCTCCATAGTTCCCCTTCTCCAGCCTTTGTACTGTTCACCAAGCCTCTCCGTGGAGCTCTGGGATGCACTCCTTCCCTTTGGCTGCTGGCCCCTACTGCCGCTCAGCCCAGGGTTTTTATAGTCCTGGCCTGCCCGCTTCTAGTCACCTGACTAGCTGGCCAGACTCAGCTTTTAACCCCCACCTTACTGGCATGCTGTGCCCAGAAAGTTCAGGCCTTAAAGGCTAGGGTTCCCTGTTACAGACCCATACGTCTAATAGGTGGAATGGGAGCTGACACTTGAAGACTAAATCATGACTCAGCTAAGGGTAGTGTTGTGCATGGGAGCATCCTCCTCTTAAGCCTATTCATCAATTTTCTACATCAGAGGTAATAGCATGGTTGGGGAAATAGGCTCCTCAAACCTTCATTTCTTTCATCATGTTGATGGGAGCCTTGGTTCCATACTGTTCAGTGCAGTTGAAGGTACCAGCATTTGGGGTAACATATGTCTTTCTGGTATAGACATGAGGTATTTCACTCCCCCATGGCTACAGCATGAACTCAGAGCTTTGGTGGGACTGCACTGTCTCCTCACTAGACAGAAGCACACTGTCACATTTTTCCTGACACAGGGTATATCATTATTAGAGGTCTACTAAAACTGAGGCAGCTGCCAGCCAGTTTCACAGGCAGACTGCAGGCCAGGCAGCCATTTTTGCCAGCAGAGCACGGCAGGCCCCCTATGCCTCTGACTGGCAAAGGGAACCCAATGGCCCCACCCTTCACTGCTGACTGGCCATGAGGCTGTCAGTCATGCAGTCCCCACCCCTCACTATCAATTAGTGGCAAGGGGTGGGGCTTTATGATGGATGACCCTCACAGCCAATCAGCAACAAGGGACTGGAGGGGAGATGGCAGCCATCTTACCATCTTGGCAGCCCCTCCCCCCCTTCCCCATCCAGAGGGCTGTGCGGCTAGGCCACAGTGGCTACAAGAACAGCTAGCTGCCAGCATTTTATTATCAGTGAGTTTTTTGTGTTTTTTTCAAGGAGCCTGCCAAAAGCAGACCCCCATGCTTCTTTGTGAGGCCTGCCCAAAATCACAGTTTCCATGAAAATTACAAAATCATGATTTCAGTAGGTCCCTAATCATAATACCTTGCCCTGTTCCTGGGTATATACTCTCCAATGACTATGCTCATTTCACTTTCAGTCTCTAAAATTGTAATCTCTTCTTGATAGGGACATCTCTTACTGTCTGCACAATGCCTAGCACATCGCAGCTCTAATTTCAGTTGGAGCATCTAGACTATACTCTTTCAGAACTAATAACTAATTGTTACTCCTCCCTAGCACTCTTTACATTTCTTTTTTCATATTAAATTTGGATCAATATGAAAAACGTTGTACTCTTTGGATTTCTCTTTGCAGGCCTGTGCTTTAATAATTTGAAACAGAAATTGCCTGCATACTTAGTTGCAAATGACATCTGTTCCCTACAAACTTGCAGATCCTCACGCATGACATTTGCTATGATTGGGTAATTTTCTTTGAGATATGTACTAACTAGAGAGTGAGCTCATAGTCTGAAACATTTGTGACTGAAGTTCTTATCTTCAACACTGGACTATAAATGAAACAGAGCAGAATATAAACAAATTAGTGGCAATTGACAATATTCTCCAGGGTAACAGGCTGGCGTAACTTAGACCCTCTGCCTGGACATTAACATTTTCAATTGGAAATGTTTATCTAAGATGCAGGGTCAAAACCCTACATTGAACGGTCAAAACCATCAGGCCAACACATCCAAGTGCAGGAAATAGCATAACTAAAGGTGGGCAAGCAGTGGAGAGGGTGCCAGTATGGCCTCTTTCCACAGGAATCTTTACCAAAGCAGGGATAGCTGTAAGAGCTAGGATTTGCCACAGGAAGCACAGCCCTGCCCTTGTGGGAAGGACTGGAGTGAATGGCGCACCAGGAGTAGTCCCCAGGGAGCTGTGCTGCTTCCTGTCCTCTAGTGGTAGCAGCCCAACGTATGTTGTTGCAGCAGTTGTTGACTGGAGAATGGTATGTCAATAGATTAATTTTATAAATAGAATGAGGGCCATAATAAACAGCACAACTTCTCCTGCAAAGGAGTGGCTGGATGGAATGTATCTTTTGCATACTGTTGGTCCAACCTGACTTGCTCTGGGCTCTCCAAAGCAAGCTAGAGGCCTGGCTTGGTTTGTTAGTTAAATAAATTGATTCACACAGGAAGTTATAAAACAAATGGGTTATTATTAAATGAAAGGGAAATAACAACAACAAGGGAGAAATAAGACCAAGAAGATAATACAATATCAATAATATAAAGACAAAGATGTGAAATGACAGCAGTAATCCTTCAGAGACAAAGGCTGCTTTTCATTGCCAGGCAGCATTGTGCTGCCTTATTTCCAGGTGATAATTTTCACTCACACTCACTTCTTCCAAACAAGATCTCATGCAATGATGACTCTCCACAAAACTCATGGCTCTCAAACCCAAAACCCACAGACTCCACCCACAAGTTCTGACCAAACACCCACAGACTCACACTCTAGGGCTCTGGTCAATAGCCTTTATACAGTCCAGTCACCCTATCTTTATTAACCAACCAGAGTCCAATCTGTCAACCTGACAATACATTTGCCAGTCTTCATCCAATCATACTCTGAATCACCTCAGGCATGCAGCTAATATCCACACATCAATCATTCTAATCATTTTATCTCCAAAATCCCAATCATATTGTGCATGCTCAATTTTGGTAATTGGAGCAAAAGTTGGAAAGGTCCGTCCTTCTAGCACCATCCAACCATGCTGTGCATGCCTTAAGCAAGTAAACTAAGGAACGCTTGAATGGTATTTAGGAACAGCAAATATGCAAAGTAACTAAACTTTGTTACACAGGAGCAGCTGCTGCTGGAGTGAAAAGAGCTGGGCAGATAAGACACTTCTCCATCAACTAACTTGAGTCCCCTCTTCTCCTCCTTCCCCCAACCTCCCCTCTCCACTAGTCAGCATAATACCCCCTCACCTCCACCTCTGCCCCAGGGTGAAAGAGTCCACTATGTTTATGAGCATGAGCTAAGGCTCCATGCATTTCATTTTTTTCCAGAACATTCAGAAGACTGAGTTTATATTAGCACAATTATTCCAAGGTTTGCTAAGACAACTAAACAAAACAATGTGCTTGTGCAATATGCAAAATAATCTGGAAACTACCTGTTCTAACATTATCAAGACTCTATGGATACCGTTCATGGGCTTTGATCCATAAACCTTATAGCTGTCCATTATTTAATCAGAACTGGGTGAAAGTGTAGCCATACACAGAATTATGGAAGTGCAGTTATGTCACCAAAATTTAAACTGCTGTTTCTTACTCATATTATAAATATGATCATTTGTTTCCCATAAGACAAGGAACTAGAAACTCTGATCCTCTTTGCAGTAACCTAGGACAACTTTACACGTGCTCAGGGGTGGGGCATTTGAATTAGAGGGGCTCTTGGGAGCTGCTCTAATTAAAACACCCACAGCATCTCACATACTCAGGGTCCCGCACTTTAAAATAGCAGTGGAGGTACTTTAACTAAAGCTCATTCAATGGGATTTAGTTAAAGTGCCCCCACTGCCATTTTTAAATGTGGGGACACTGAATACACATGACACTGAGGCTGCTGTAGCGTTCTAATTAGAATGCTCCAAAAGAATCAATTAATCAAAATAATCTGCTTGATTGAGTCTGTTCTGATGCATTGTAATTAGAACACGCTGGAGTAGGTGTCAG